CTCTATAGCTTTATTTGTATAGATGTAATACTGGTCTTTATAAAATTTTATCCAAAACTGTCGAACCGTTAGGGCTGCAAAAGTACCATTCACCATTCCTGATGGATCGTCGGTACTGTTCCTGATAAGGTTCTAAAAGAGCCTCTAAAACACTATAGGATTAAGGTTCAATTTTAGAAGCATATCAGGAACAGTAATCAAATAAATTTTTTTTAACTCCATCAGAACCGGTACTGCCAATCCATAAGGAATAGTAATTTTGCGTTAGGGCTGTGCATTTATTTAAAATTTTCTAATAATTATTATAAATTTTTATGATCTATCGAAAAATCTTCATTATAAATTTTGTTATATGACCACATATAGTTTTGATTTACATAGTGCATCGCGCACCCAATAGCCACGCCCAAAAAGCCTCACACATTTTCATGTGATCATTTTATATCAAAATCACATACTTTACAAATATCATATAATATTTTATTAATTTTAGTTGAATTAAAATTGTTGAATTAAAATTTATAATACTTCCATATGCATTTTAAATTTTAAAATGCTTACATAACATATGTTTAGCATAATGTTATGTATAACACTCATTCGTAAACTGGGCATTAAACAAATTTTCATTGCCCAAATTCTAATCGTAACATAGTTTTAAAATTATATAAAAACATAGTTCCTAAAAGTTTTAGTGCCTAAACCAAATATAAACTACTTTAACGATTCTACTTTCGATTTCTATAATGATAATAAAATTCTTGCACATCTTTTGTGGTATAAAATCCAACATTTCTTTGGAGAAAATACGAAGAATCGATCATGTTTGATCTAATGATTTATAAATTGTTCGAGATTCATATGTACCTGAATTATAACTATATTAAATTCAAATAATTATAATCAGATAGAATAAATCGTATAACATAATAACACAACAAAATATAATTTTGAGCACTTACAAGTTAATTTACACATCATCATAATCCTTATCATCACAAATTGCTGATTTCATCATTTATGAGAGGTGAAGCATCAGTTGGTGGATAAATTTGAAAAATATGAATATTTGATCCTCTTAATATATCCTGCCAGATCAGGAATAAGATGGGTAATATCACAAGAAAAAGTAGGTCAAATATTGCTAAACAATTGCTTAAAATAATAATACCATTGTTCTGCATTGAAAAATTTGGACTTGCATAATTACCGTTTCTTCTTTAACACAACCTGCACGTTCATATATAGTAGATAAATCAGTATATATATCCAGGAAATCAATGACGACTAAGTACTTCGGCAGAAGCCCAAAATTTTAAATAAGGAAATTAACCAAAAATAAACTTGATTGCATTGTTACCTCGCGTAAAGCATTTGCGTATGAACTCATATTAATTAAAATGACAAAAAGTGCTTCTCGAGTTGATACGCATAATATTCGGAAGTAGTAAGTGTCAATAATAGAGTAATAATACGTTCAATGTTAAATAATAGCGAAAATATAAATGAATAAACCAAATCTCTTTTTTTTTTTGAAAGTAAAAATTACGTTTGATCATTAGCCAAGTTTGAAAATAATGAAACATGCTCTATAGATCAAAATCTTCCATATTCACAACTACGGCAGTAAATACGATAGAGAAATTGCCTTAATGGCCATCAAACAAACCCTTGTAGAATTTTTTTAACAAGACTAGCTTGGCGGCACGTTAGAACAACGATCTAATACTATCAGGTGAGTAAATACTTATAAATTAACATTACCCATTATGCGGTAGTCCAGCAGTAAGGAAGATTGGAATTTTCTACAAAGCGCTGCAGAATTAATTGTGTCTATGGTTGATATATCAGTCTGAATCACTTTTTCTGAGTAGGTATGTGAATATGGATTTATTTGAACCCTAAAAAAATTTAAAAATTTAATATTTAACAAAATTTGAAGCTTGCAATCAGATATTAACCATTAATGTGTAAAAAATCAATAGCTTTCCCGGATCCATTTAAAATACGACCTAACAGGTCTTCCGATACAGGAATCTTTAGGACACCACCAGTAAATTCAATATGAGTCGTTTTGGAATTAACACTTGATGCACCTTTAAACACCTTAAAGGACCAATTAAAAGAAACAATTTTTATTAAAAACATATTTATTTTGTCAAATGATTATAGATACATAAACATTCGCTCTTTTTTTTTGCCTTGAATTTCCAAAGCCTGACTAGCACGACGATCGCACCTGGTAACGTCAAGTTTATAATCTCTGCAAATTTAGGAACATATAACAGATAACTGTTAATTTAAATGTGTTTAAAAAAAAGAAAGAAAAGAAAAGAAAAGCAGTGTCATAATATTACCTTAACATTCACACTAGCTGCTGTTCGATAATCTGTGATCGTATGTCAATTGTGACAATTAAAATATAAATGATATCAAATGATGAGGGTAAATTTTGTCTTTAAAATCTTGAACGAGTTAAGGTAAAATGGGTAAAATGCGTTTTAGTTATGGAGCATAATCTGATTGCTGGTATTTTCACAAGTAAAGATATTGTATTTAGAGTTATAGCTGCTGGGTTGGATCCTTCGACGTGTAGTGTCGCAAAAGTAATGACTCCACATCCTGACACTGCTCCACCTCATACTAGTATTCTTGATGCCTTAAAAAAAATGTATGGTAAGCAATGCTTTAACATACTGCATACAGTATTTAACTCTCCAAGACAAGTGCTTTGTAGGAAAATAATACCAATTTGCGGTATGATGGTTGGTTTTCCTCAACTTCATATATCATGTATTTATTTTTTTGTTTTTGGCTTGGAGTTGGTATACGACAAACTGATTGTTAGACTTTCGAGGCATCTATATAATACAAGAAAAATGTTAGAAAAAAATGATTTCTAAGTATGCATATCAAAAATACATTATCTGCCAGGGCCGTTAGAGAAACGCAGCTCCACAGCTCACCCAAACAGAAGGCCGGCCTTGATCATCAAAGAAGTCGTAAGCTCACAGCTCAAAAGTACAATATACACACCTTTAAGAGCAAACGAAAGGAAAACTTCAAATTAACAAAAAAAAAGTCTTATAAAAAATTGATTTTTGGCTTGGAGTTGGTATGCGACAAACTAATTCTTAAACTTACAAGGCATCTATAGAATACAAGAAAAATGGTAGAAAAAACTGATTTCTAAGTATGCATATCAAAAATACTTTATCTGCCAAGGCCGTTAGAGAAACGCAGCTCCACAGCTCACCCAAACAGAAGGCCGGCCTTGATCATCAAAAGAAGTCATAAGCTCACAGCTCAAAAGTAAATATACACACCTTTAAGAGAAATGAAAATAACATATCCCGAACTACGTATTCGCGTCTTTTATATGATCTTGGTGTTAAGAAAAGGGACTAGAATTTTTATAAAAAAATAAACGTGTGACATTTGTTTTTTCTGGGAACGTCCCAAATAAAGAAATGATGATCCCGATCATGCTTAATAAATTTGATTGATAAGGTTTCAAAACATCATGGGAATAAATTGGCTAAGTCACTGTAGGTCATCATTTGCCCAACAGGGGTACGTACGTACGTACGTACGTACGTACTAGGGTGGTAACTCAACTAAATAAATCAAAACTATGTTAGCAATATTAGTATTTTTACAATGATCAGATTTTTTTAACAACGAAATTAAAATAATACCTCTATATAGCTGACATTATCAATCACCGCATTTTTAGGAAGAATAAATGGTTTGAAATAAACTTCTTCATGTAGTTTAATAATTTTTGCCCATCGAAGTAACTCTACGTTAGGATCCTTCATGACTATATTTGGCGGTAGAATTACTGAATTACGGTATTATGGCATTTTACCAGTTAGAATTAATTACGGCACAGTACCTGATTGCCATAAATATTATGCCGTAATGCCGTAATCTTATGAAAAATATTAAAATAATGTGAAATATAACAGTCAGCCGACATGTCGGAGAGTTTATATGTTAGATTTGCATACTTATTGATCAAATTAATAGACGTACCT